TATTGCTATTTATTTTGAATATGCTGTTGGCTATTAAATATTTTATAAACAGGACAAATGTAAATGAAACCAGTATAGAGGATGGTGCCCTTCCACTTAGTGGACACTGGAGGGAGCTACAGCACTCAGCATATCATAGTTCACTGATTATATTTCATATACCTTCAGAGCTAGGGTTCTCTGCACCTTAGTATCTAGAAGTCCCTAGTCAATTTAATTTTTATGTCTCTTCCTTTAAATCTCCCTCTGCTTCTGAGTGATCTAGTTCTGTACCTCTTTAGCTGGAAGGTTTTTGGAGAAAAATCTCCACAGTCCTTACCCATTAAACTTGAGATCACCTTCAGTAGACTCAGAAATCACCCTCAATTTCTTCCTATATTTTACTTGGCTGCAGCCCTACTATCCCAGCAAAGTAGATCTGGATGGTGTCCAAGTTAATCTTGTGGATGAATGCAGTGATATGTGTGACTCCAAGGAGAAAAGTGTTAACCCCGGTTATCCAACATAATTTTAGGGGGTGTTAAGCCACAAAGAAACTCTCCTTTCTAAGTAATGGGGATGTTCATGTCCCTAAAGCATCAGTGTGGTTTGATGGGGTTCCACATATCAAGGAGTAATATGACTAACTCAGCAAGGAGTGCTGTTCCCTTGAAGTCATTACTGACCCTAATGTCACATGTTGTTAAGGAAGCTATGTTACAGACAGTTTAGTAATTTGGTTACAAAACAAAATTACCAACTACCCCAAGGCAATTCAAACTCTCATGACGTTTTCCACCTCAAAGATCGCTGCTTTTCAGTGAGTGATACCTGAGTGTAAATTCTGTAATGCATTTGGGAAGACATCTTAACGCCAGCTAATTTCTTTCTCTCTCTGCATCTCATAGGCCTTCACATATACTTGTAACTTAATGCCTGGTTACTATGTCTCAGCAATGAGAAATTAATGAGTTGCTGTAACATGTTTGAATGTATCGTTTCAATAATGTAACACTGTGTTCATTTGAGTCAGGACAGGATGGGAATATTCCTATGAGCCAGAGAGCTTCTTATAGGATGATTATTTGAGCTCTGACACACTCTTTTGAGTCATTCCCCTATTGTGCCCTCTACCGGTAATAGAAACAAGCCTAAGTCAGAGTTCAATGCCAGATCCAATCATCTCCTAAATTTGGGGTGTTTAGATCAGGATTTGTGTTCACTCCAAGTTAAAGATAGTGGGCAGCTATGAAATTCAGACCCCCAATGTTCAGAGTAGTTTAGATCTTATCTTTTTTTGGTTTGCAGTTGATTGTGCCTTCACTGTGATGGCCATCAGGATGTAGAACTCTTTGCCTGCATCTCTGTTCATTGAGACCAGTTCTGACAGGCTGGAGAACCCTTCTGGGGTTCAGCCAAAATGCATTCAGATACTCACTCCTGCAGCTCAACATATCATATTAGGAGCATGAACACAGTCCCAAGCATCCTTCTTTGTCACATAAATGGCTATGTCTACACTGCAGGCTTTTGCCGGCAGAGAGTATGCTAATGAAGCGCTCATTAGCATTTGTCATGCTGTCATTTGCATATCTCTGCCGATGCTTTTTGTGCAAGAGGTTTTTGTGCAAAAACAAGCAGTGTAGACAGGTCCGTTTTGTGCAAAAAACTCCTTTTGTGCAAGATCCCATATACCTCCTTTTTTTTAGCCATAAGGGATCTTGCACAAAAAATCTTGCACAAGACTTTTTGTGCAAAAACAAGCAGTGTAGATGTGTCCATTTTGCACAAAAAATCCCTTTTGTGCAAGATCCCTTCTCCTTTATCTCTATATGGTCCTTCAGTTCCCTCTGTCCTTGTGTCCTTACTCTCCCTTTCATTCTTGTTTCTTCCTATGTTTTTTCTGTTTTCTTTTTGTACCTTTTTTCTCTCTCCACTTCTGTTTTTCTTCCTCTGTTCCTCTTCCCTTTTCTATATTTGTCTTTCTCCCTCTCTCTCCTTTCTATGCTCTTTTTAATGTTTTCTCTTTCTGTATGTATCTTTTTGTATCTTTCTTGCTTTCTGTCTGTCTCCTTGGTTTCCTTTCTGTCACCTTCACTGGAATGTTGGCAGAAACCTTATTTTCAAAGAAACAGAGGAACTGACTGACTAAATAAAGTATCTAGGAACGGGGCAGGAAGCTTCTTTTCCACAAGGGTCTGTATTCCAAGAACTCTTTCTCCCTATTAGCAAAAGAACCAGTTACATTCCACGTCCACCCCAGCTCCAACCCCATTCAGAGTCAAGATCTCCCCCTCCACTCAGCACACAGTCCTTCGGAGGGAGTGATGGATTGCACTGCAGTAAGGGCTGGGATCAGTGCAGGGAAGGGAGGAGGAGACATACTGCCAGCATCAGGGCAGGAGAGTGGGGACTGAGCACAAGAAGAGAGGGGGTGGAGATGTGGGAGGGTGTATGTGTCTGCAGACTATTGCGCCATTCTGACTTTAGCTGAGCAGCTTGGAGAGGAGAGGTTTGAAAGATAGAGCCAAAAGAGGCACAAGGCAGAATGGGCTCAGGCAGGGGATGGAGGCTGCCACAGAGGCAACAAAAGGGTGGCAGAGAGATAACAAGAAAGAGAAATGAGTGCATTCTTACGTGGTACAATCAATTATGTATAACAATACACAGTAATACAGTAACAGAGCTCTCCCCATTTCTCTTTCTCAAACTATTGCAAGCAGGGCTATGGCACAGATGTAGAAACATACAAAGGCCAAATGATGCAAACTGCAAAGTATATTGAAACATATTTTCACTATACTTGAAAAAAAGATTATAATATGATCTCTGTCCAGGGTCTAGATAGATCCACAGAGCTATTCACAGGTCTCAGCATATGAGTAGCGGGACAATTAATATAGTATTAACTTTTTTTTTTTTTTTTTTTTGCCTAGCACTTCTCCCTTCATCCCTTTTTCCTTCCTTTATTTTCCTTCTGCCTTTGTTCTTTTCTCTGTTTTCTCCATCTGTTTCTTTCTCACACTATCCAGGTTTCTTTCCATTTATATCTTTGCTGCTGCCTTCTTTTCTGTTCTTTTAATATCCTATGCTCCATATCTTTCATTATCCTCTCTTCATCAGCCTTTCTCTGTAATTTCTTTCACCCATCCCTTTCTATCCTTTTATCTTACTTTCATTCCTTCCATCAATTCCTTTCTCCCCCCTCAGGTCTGATTCTCCATTGCCCACCATGTGACATCTTACACACACAAACATGCACATGCACATACACACACCCTTTTTGCACTCGTTTTGCTGAGATAAAAATTCCAACCCACAGTGCAAGGAAAGGGAGAAACAATCCCAGAATATCTTCTACTTTCTTTTTCTCAAACATGTATCTCACACAGGCACACTGTGGGAGATGCAGATGGTCGAGGGGGGAAACGGGGACTGCAAGGAGATTGGGGTGTGTCTGGTATTCATGCAATCAGCCTGTAGGAGGCTTCCTGGCCCCTGCAATTCCTCCCAGCAACTGACACAATTCTATTTCCTCTGCTTCAGATGCTTCTGCAGATTCCCTGCTCTGACCATTCCCCCCTCCCACCATCCTTTGCCGACATCACACTGCACCAACTATAGCTGCCAGCTGCAGTGACCTACTTCTGCCCATTCTGCACAGCATCTCCATTCTCTTTCATTCTTGCACTGGCTGCAACTGAAGAAAAGGGAGCAGAATCACTCCATATCCCACTCAGTCCCCTACTTACCGCTTTTGTAATAATGCCCCCACATGGAATAGAAGATCCCCCTTGGTCCTCACAATCTGCTCCATCTATTTAGTGCAGGAAAGGGGCACTGAAAATATAACCATACTTCTTAGTGCCAGGAGCCAGTTTTAAGGGAATCTGATGGAGTGATCACTCCCTGCAACGAGTTTAGTCTCAAAAGCCCCTCCCCTTATCCAACTTATTGTCTAGTACAATTGTCATACTAGCTATAAAATATGAGAAATGGGATATCCCACAGGGACTTTTTAAAATGCTCTATAAAGTTATCTGGCTCACAGGGCAAATGTTTATCATCCCTTTCCCCTCCTGCCCCAAAGACATAGCACTCTGCACCTGCATCAAACTATGCCCACCTACCCTTGAAATGCCATTAACATTCCAGATAGTCAAAGAGCAGGGTCAGCCCAAGTCATTCGTGCACCCTGGGCCCCAGGAGCACAGCCCCCCCCCGGGAGTGCGATGCATGTGTGGCTCCACCCTCGGGTGCACGGTGCCCCCCACCCCTGGGCTCCCAGCGCATGTGTGGCCCTGCCCTCAGTGCGCAGCACATGTGTGGTGCCACCCCGGGCACACAGAGCATGAGCGGTGCCACCCCCACCCGGTCTGGCAGCTCCATGCAACGCCCCGTACAATGGGGCGCCCTGGGTGGTAGCCCGGCTGTCCCATTCTTTGGGCCAGCTCTGCAAAGAGAGAAAAGGAATAGCAAGAACATGAGGGGAGGTATCCCGTAAAAACTCCACCGGGTCCAGGGAACGCATCTGCTCTTTAGAGTTTTTTTGTTTTTTTTTAGGAAGAGCAGATATGCTCTTTCGGAAGCCCTGTCTTCCTCCTTCCATAAGGAAGAAGGGCTCTTCTGAAAGAAGAGGCTTTTCTGAAATTTGGCTCAGTGTAGACAGGCCAAATTTTGGAAAAGCCTCTTCTGAAAAAACTATCAGAAAAGGGTATGCAAATTGCGGAGCGCAATTTGCTACCTTTTCCCGATAGATCAGTGTAGTCTAAACATAATGGGAGAGACAGAAAAGACTTTTCTAAGGCAGAAATAGAGAAAGAAAAAACTAGAAAGAAGCAGAAAGTATCAGAAGGAATTAGAGAGATGCCCAGAAAGATGCAAGGGGAAAGAGATCTGAAAGAAAAAAATCACAGAGAAAGGGGACAGGGAGAAGAGAGAAAGAGAGAGAGAGAGAAGAAAGGCATGGAGAGAAAAAGAGAGAAAAAGATGGGAATTCAGAAAAGTGAAAGAAAAGGACCAGGTGGAGGAGAGAGGATATAAAAAGATCCATCCCACCCTCCATCTTCTACACCATGGGGCATCATGGAAAAAGTGCTCTGGAAATACTGCTGAACACTTCAAGCTGCAGCTGTCAATCTCAGCCCAATTCAGTGTCCCCTAAATTATACTTTCTCTCAAAGACCACTAAATTCCTCCCTTCTTTCTAGCACCCCAGTAGTATTTTCTTTCCCTGCAATGCCATTTTAGCAGTAGCTATACAGTTCTTCCTCATGGGGCCAACTACTGGCTGGCTGATTAAGCAGGGCACTTGAGAACTATGTCAGTGGTTATCAAACTTTTGTGATTGGGTGCCCCCTTTATTTATATGAAGATATAGCTATCTCATAGAGCTGGAAGGGACCTTGAGAGGTCATTAAGTCCAGTCCCCTGCCCTCATGGCAGGACCAAGTACCATCCCTGTCAAATTTGCTCAAAATGGCCCCCTCAAGTATTGAACTCACACCCCTAGGTTTAGCTGGCTCAAACCACTGAGCTATCCCTCCCCCTTCTTTATGTCTGCAATGATTTATGCTCCTCCCACAGTACATATACTACCACCCAACTCAGAAGGCAGTCTGGAGAGCAGCAGTTTCTGGTTTAACTCCCACCTCTGAAGGCAGTGCTGAATGAGCAGCACACACACACACACACACACACACACACACGAAAAGTGTGGCAATGTGAAGAGTATTATTCATCAATATTACCTTTTATAAAAGACTTCGCACCCCACTGCCACCTTTACTTCTCCATTGCTACTGTTGCCCTGGGGTTGACTCCTGGGGGCTACAATCAGACAGGGTCGTGTTATGGCTAATCGAGCCCATTTCTCTAGAGATCAGTGCAGGACTAGTTACTCTCCAGGGCTTTGTCCACTACTCCTAGTTTTAAATTACATCAGAAATGGAACTCACCCTACTTTTTCTTGGGAAACTGTCCCACAATCCAACAGAAATGTCCTTTGGGTTCAGTTTCACCACTTTATTTCTCGTTTATACTAAATAATTCTTATCCTGCCTAGGAGTCTGCACCCTTCACATGCTTAACAGATGGGTTATGGTGCCCTCCCCTCTCACGCCCATTAGTTAAGCTACATGGAGCTCTACAGATTGAATGTCTGCAGCTCTGGAATTCAGGAAGGGAAAGAAACAGGCACCAAAAAAAACCCCAAGCCCCACAACAGAAAAATGTAAATAGATATAAATTAGCAGCACCTTTTCCAGCTCCTCTCTCTCCTCCGCCTCCCTCCTTCTCCCCCCTGCTTCAGCCGATCTCGTGTCCCCCCAGATGCTCCCCTCCCCGCCCTGCCTGCGTCTTTGAGTAGCGAGTAGGCATTTTGTGTGCTAACTCAGTGATTCTGCTCAGCATGAGCTCAGAGGAGAACTGGAGGAGAGCAGCGGGAGGGGGAAGGCAAAACGGGCGTTTAGCCATACTGACTCTGACTGCAGAGACCTTGCTGCTGGGGCCGGTTCTAGCCGGCTGGCACTGGGTGATGGGAAGGCTGCAGACAGAAATGCTGCAGCAATTGCTGCTACAGCTATTGCTGCAGGGGAAAATATGGAGGATTTAGATGCTCATACTCAACACAATGCACATAAACAATCAGCTTACACACTGCCACCCCCATGCAATGTCACAAATATAGTCACATATTCACTAACCAAGCCTAATGCACGCGTACTCGCACTATTATGTACTCGTACTCACTCCTGTGTGAACACTCCTACTATACAATCACATACTGGCATACATACTAATGCACACTCACCCACATACTAACACACCCAGTCATATCATTACATGCTCCCTAACATCCCCTGCTCTGCTCAACATAATGTACCCTTGCACACTACTAACACACCAAGCCATATCATTACATGCTCACTAACATCCCCTGCACTGCTCAACATAATGTACCCTTGCACACTAGCACAGCTCAGACACAGTCACAGACAAATGCTTACTCATCCTGCAGGGCTTGAAGGTTAAAACCAGGTTTCTGTTTAAAGCTTGTCTATGATAAGTACTCAAAAATCTACTCAATTTTCTGATTGCCTTGATGTTCTAACAGGGAAACATAGCCACACTCACACTAGCCACCCAAGCAATACACACACTCACATGACATGCCTACCCATAAGCACATGTACATGAGAGCACCAAATAAATTCATCTTTAACAGTGAGGTGCAGACCATACAACTGAATTGCCTGTCTCAGCCTTTCTTCCCATTCTCCTTCCTGTCTCTAGACTTCAGAACAATTTCCCTCTGCCATTCTCTCCTACCACTGATTTCTTTTGCTCCTTTTGGACCCAGGATCAAGCAGTTTCTTCAGTGATTTATTATATATTATATATATCAGTGTGCAGTTGGCACATTCCTAGTCCTAGCTTTCCATAGGTAAAAGTGCAACATAGGTTTGTCATAAACATGTGGTTGCTGGGTTGTGGGAGCATCTGCCACACTGTGAAGTACAGGATTGGGAGTGAGAATGTTATATGCATAAGGAATGTAGGGCAATGGGTTGGGTTTCTCCCAGGTGAGGTGGGAGTTAGTGTTTCAAATAGGACACAGAATAACGGGCTGAGTGTGTCACATATATTGGCAAGGAGGTTACTTAGTTGAGTGTCATCATAGCTTTGAATGAGGATGCCTGGGGACTAATTGGGTGTATTATATCTGGGAGGCATGGGCAACTGGTTGGGGTTGTCATACACAGGATGGAACTGAGCTGTGACAGTTTTGGAGCTGATTCAACCAGACCTGGAATTCTCTGCACATTCCTTTGTTTGATGTCCTCTGCATAAGCAGTCATCTCCCTATTTTCTGTTACTTTATAACACTTTATTCTGAACTGAAATTACAACAGTCCGTATTAGCCAAAAACTGTGGCTGCATGAAAGTCAAGGTAGTTTTGCACCATTTTACACAAGCCACATTTTGCTTTAAGTGAAACATTGACGAAATGGCTAACATCTGAACACAGTCATTCACATGTGAACAGGAGCTTTTGCCTTGCCTTATATTTCTTATTTACTATTCAGTCATCCAGGTAGGCAGAAATAGTGCTATATTACTTAGGTGACCAAATGATTAGTTAAGGTAAATGTTTCACAAGTAATATATAGGTTGAAATGTATTGACATCAACCTATGGGCAAATATTTGTGAAAAAACAAATGCATTTGCCATAATCCAAATAGGCTTGAAAAAGCATTACAGTATTTAGTTACCAGAAAGAGAAACATTAATGTATTTCTGTTCCATCATTTCCATTGGTACTTAGCAGAATATACAGACAGGCATTTTCCACCATATTTCTTATCAAAATCATACACATCCAATCATACACACACAAAAGAGTGTATATATGAAGCCATCTGACATGCTAATCACACCTCTAAATTTGGGATTAAGTTGTGTTTCAAAACCAAAGTGCTATCTTGCATTTTTAGTGAGCCTACTGTCAAGAGATGTTTCATGAAAGCAACTATGAAATCTTATTTCAGCTACACAGAGGTTCTGGAACAGTATTTGCAGTATACATTTCAAGCATTATATCACATCTTGCTCTCAACATAACTGAGCAAGAGAAAAGGCAGAAAGGAAAGTGACAATGATGCTTAGTGCATTGATGTCCAGTATTCATTAATTAGCTTTTGCCCAAATTAAAATGAATAATATTATATGGATTGCCTGAATGGTAAAACTGACATTGTCCTCTGCTGCATTTGCACAGAGGGCAAAGGTTACTATAAAACTTTCTGTTTCAATCATCACCATTTCTTTGACTTGGGATCAGGGCTGTAGTTGCTGAGAGAGCTCTCATCTTTATCAGACTAAAAAGCTTTGTTTTCCTCAAGAGGGAATGTACAACAACCCCACCCAGCTCACAGGACCAACAATACAGGAGTAAGGACTGAACTTCTCAGGGTCTCTCCATCTACTGCCATGTGCCAGGGAACAAGATTGACAGGCAGAGTCCTCTGACAAACAGAGGAAAGACCCTTAGATTATTCCCAGACAGGGGCTTGGCTT